CTCTCTCCTCTCCCCCCCCCTCCCACATAACGCAGAAACTTTATTTAACCCTCGGATTGCATGACCTACCTCACATACGTGAGTAAAGCGCAAGTCATCGTGATCCACTTACTCATTTTAATTATTCACGCTTTTATCCTCCTGAGACCTAAGGGGCTATACCTTTAGTGTAATGGGAGGGGCAAGCTTGCTAGCGAGTTTTCGGGGCGAGAGAGGCGTTGGCAGGAATTACGGATATTGCTCGGACGAGAGGCGTTGCTGAATTAATGCACTAATATCCGTAATAATCTTTTTTTTTAACAATTTACTTACTATCTCAGGGTGCTGTGCTCGCGTTAAGTGTAAGATACTGATATAATGATAAATTTCCAAACTCTCGTGCGTATCTCGTCATGCGCCTCTATATTCCGCTTCGTTGCCGTCGATCTGTCTCTGTGATGCCATTTCATGCTCAACATAGTTTCGCGAAAGCGCATCGCCGTACGATTTATCCGAATCTTTTTTCCACTTCCGGTAGCGTTTTCTTGCGAAAAACGACGAGAGTGCGAGAGGGCGCCGAGAGGGAAAAGCTATCTATCGACGCCGACATCCATCTCTCACATCTCCTTTCCTCTCGAGAGATGACGAGTTCACCTGTTATTTCGACGACGAAAAATTACTTTGCAGGGGCCGGGTGCGCGGGAAGAGGGCTCCCGGGGATGCGAAAGTAACAAGCGAGAAACTCGGGGGGCGAGGCTCAGAGGGCGAGGTTGTGCTGAAAAATTGAACGCACGAAGGAGGGCGCACATAAGCTCCGCGGCTGGCTTACGCGATGCGTAGCTCCTTATCCCAGTGTTTTGCGAAAGTGCCGGCCCCGAATAACTTTCGCATGCGAGACCGTGTCGCTTCCGGCGACATTATTTCGCAGGAAGAACCTAAACTTTTCCTCCTCTCCTCGCATACTGAATGTCAGCTACGCGATTCTCTCTACTTACGCGAAATGTACCTCGCGTACCTGGAAATGATGAACATGTCACATTTACCTCGCGATGTTTCAATTTCCTTACCTGCCTCGTTATTACTGATATAAACATACAACGGAAGAAAACTAAAGGTTTTTTTTTTTTTTTTTTTTTTTTATTTTAAAATGCGGAATAAGAATTTTACGCTCGTATCTTTTCTTAATGATAAACAGTTTGGCTCTTACTTTTAGTTAATTCAGGCACTGACTTTATGAAAATTTATTTACACTCAATTGCATAAATGTGTGTCGAGATTGAAATTGAAATTTGTGAAGCCTACTATCTAAAATTGCGATAAATACAATACGTTCCTTATTCCTAATTAATTTGAAATTGGCTTATGTTTTGTCTAGTTGCAGAAAAGGCGCATCTTACGGTGCGATAATACATTAAATTAACTCAGGTGGGATGTTGCCTGTTTAATCCTCGCAGGACTGGCGAAGAGGGATGTGACTGTCCTAATAGAGGTAGTTTTACCTTTATGACCGCTCTTAATGTCGGTCGTAATCTTGCTTGTACAATCGTTCACTTTATATACTTAGCGATCGCTTAATTGTGCTAATGTAGTTTTTATGCGACTGTGTCCCGTCACAAAATTATCACTAACATTGCCATTTCCGCAAATATTCCAATTTTCGGTGAGAACCGTCGAGAGAACGAAATTTTCCATGTACAAAAAGTGCCTGCGGTGTTAACGAATTCACCTTGAATTAGATTGAATTGGCGCAAGTAGCCGAGTGTAAAATTTGCCGAGCTCGGCGGAGAGACAGGTTTACGTTGTAACAATATTTTGAGAGCCGCGAATTTGTTATTAAGTCAAAGAATTGGAGTACTTTAAATAAGCAACTTTGCCTTGTAATCCCTCGGGCAATCCGCGGCAGTTATTTTTCAATGAAAATTGTATGCGGAACCATTAACTTTTTCGCGTTTCGAGCGCGAGGTAAAATCTTTATGGAGATCTATTCAATATTAATTGTATATTGATTTTGTTTGCCTCTCGTCCTTAATTCAGACTCGACGTAGCTACCCCTCGTAAATGAATAATCCCCCGATGCCGTTTACGGTTCGCGTCTCGCGTTTCCGCGAAAGACAGAGGGGCGTTCTAAATGAATCACCCGCTATATATTAACGTATGTACGTACGTGACGAGGCTCGTCAGCTACCTGGCCTGGTCAACGATGCTGGCTTGGTAAATCTCTTGCGGCGAACCGACCACGACCGGTCGGCATCTCGCACCGGAAATCTCGAAAGACCACAAATCGAGCCGGGATCGTTTGCGGTCGATACTTCCGAAACACTTTCGCAAGGTGATACTCGAAATTTGCCATGACTACCTCTCGACGGCATCCCGGAAACCGATATTCACGTAGATCTCTCGAACTCGTGCTTCGCCACTGATTCCGCCAACGTGCATATAGATTCTCTGTTTCTCGAGTCTCCAATTTTACAATTTGCCAGTGACGCGAACGGAAGACAGAATAAGACGGAAGCGAACGAAATGCAGATTTATAAAATTAGAGGCAGTTTCATATTTATTAATTAATTTTACGGGGTTTAATTAAGAACTCCTCCCTCTTTTTCTCTCTCTTTTTTTTTTTTCATTGGAAATATTTTAAAGTAAATTAAATCCAAGAAAATTGCTATTTATTCATTTATTTGCCTAAAGTATAAATCGCGGATTTAACTTTATTCGCGTGTAGGATATTTTTTATTAAATTAAAATTACGGATTTGCGGATTTCTCTGCCGAGAATCTTCCGTCGAGTCTAATCGATCCTTCGATTCTCGTTTCAGGGGATGGCAACGTAACATAGTTGCGGACTACTAGCCGGCACGAGCATGAACACGAACGGCAACGCGGTCGGGCAGGAAGGTGGTGCCGGTACCGATTATGGGGGTAACGAGGAGACGGCGGCCCTGCTGGGCAGGCCGCCGCCGCCGCCGGTCGTGGTAGCCGCGGCGTCTCAGGGCAAGCCGGTTCTCACGCGGCAGGATCGGGCGACCTTCCTAGTCGCCTCGCCGCAACTGTCCGTGTCCGGGCTTGGCGGCTCCGAGGAGAGCGGCACCAACGAGGACCCGGCTACCAGATCGGTACCGGACATCGAGCTTCACTGCCGGCTGGACGGCGAGCCGCAGCCGCAGCCGCCGGCGCCGCCGCCGCCGCCGCCGCCAGCGCCGCCGCAGATTCAGCAGCAGCAACAGCCGCAGCAGCAACAGCAGCCGCAGCCGCAGCCGCAGCTCCAGCAGCCGCAGGTGCAGCAGTCACAGTTGCAGGCGCAGCCGACATCCTACCGGTCGTCCAGGCAGTCGCATCAATATAGATGCAGGTGCGACCGAAGGGATTCCCTTGCGCCCACCTCGGCCCTTCATTTGGCCCGCAGCGTCTCCAGGTAAATCTAATAATGAACGAAATAGTAATGAAGATATAAATAATAAGTAAGAAGCGCTGCGTAATATAGAAGAAAGAGAGTATAAGTTACGCTACTTTGTAAAAGAAGTAAGTGATATTTCAGAAATCGTATGAGAAATAGAATGTAACACAGAATGATTTAATTTTTTTTATTCAAAATCATTTTTTGTTTCCTTTTCTTACTTATTTTACTAAAATTTCCTAATAATTTAATATCGTATTCTGAACGTTACTTTTTTGTTATTCCCGAAATGCTAAATACAATAACCGATCTGCATTGCATAAACGTTTAGAAAAATTCGATACAACCTCCACTTTTTCTATCTAAAATAAAGATGATATAGATAAGTAAAAAATAGAACGTTTCAGTGTCTGATCGTCAATGCGGCAGTAGGCATTTATTTTTCATGAGTCGGCTGCCGTGCCGCGCGCTTTCGCATGTTCGTTAATATGCGTGTATGGAAAAAATATAGTTCATCCATCCAGAAATGTAAAACGTAGTACATTTTTTTTTCCACATCTCCGCGTGGTTAATATTGAATGAGCAAATGCTGGATTGAAAAACGAAGCGTAGGAGTAAAAGAAGAAATTGTAAAACTATTACTGCTGCACGGGCACGTTAATGCTTTTTAACGAAAATTACTAAATCCGCCGCTGCTATTTTAAACGACAATACGTAGAACGAAATAAAAAAAAAAAAATGATCGATCCTTCCCCGTGCATATATCGCGGCATGCGTTAATAATGGTTTCGTACTTTTACTTGCATTTGCATCGCATGACAAGCGTTAATCCGCGATAACTTAACACGTGTCGAAAGAAGGAAACCGGTAGCCGTGCGGCTTTAAACACGCATAGAAAGTTTCGACTCGTGTAATTGGCAAAGTTTAACTACTTCGCGAACATTAGTCGACCAACGCCGTCATAAACTTGCGTTTGTATGTAATAGAATCGGAGCGAACAGTTCCCGACGGTTCTCGATGGGAAACGGGCATGAGACAGAAACTTGTTTTCCAAGTTTCCGATATTGCTTATCATTTTGTTATGCCGTATCTTCGTATCCGTATTATTTATTCATCGTTACGTATACTCTCGATATACCAAGGCGATGTCCCAGGTGCGACACACACACACACACACACACACACACACACACACACACACACACACACACACACATATATATAT